ACGAGCGCATCACCCGAATGGTAGCGCCAACGCCCGAACGCCCGTGTCGACTACGAATCCCCTTAACACGAAAAATGTGACAAAACATTATTGTCTCAAGCCGTTTCCGTGTTAATGAATGTGACGACTCCTTTTACCTGCATTCCTCTTCTTCGCTTCGCCATGTTAATATTATTACATTATCCATGTCCTTCATTAAATTTTTCGTATTTTTTCGTTCGTGCAATTTTTTATTGTAGTAGTGATCCAGATTAATATGGAATAAAAAGGTAGTGTTTTGGCGCCAGCCTGTATAAATCTGTCTAATGTGACTAACACACAATAAAGATAAAATTATAGAAATATTAAACAATTAAACGTTAATTTGTGTATATACGTCATTCATGTATATACTAATATATATTACCTATATTTATTTATTTACGAATTTCACTTCTATCACCTATTTATTGGTCTAATGAGGCGTGAATCGTCGTTGCAATTATGTATGTTGACAGATAGAAACAAAAGAACTAAACTATGTCAATAAACTTGGTAATTTTCCTTATCTCTCCAAAAGCCTTTATAAAACCGATTAGTAGCGCTAATACAGACTATTTTCTTTTAGTAAGACATCTATCACAAATTCATAACTCATTTTTTTCATATCCATATTATGATGGTGCAAATAAACTGTCCTTGGTACGGATTAAGGAATCCAATCTCGCATTCCAGAAAAATAGCATTTTTAGAGAAACATACCCAAGGAGCACACTTTATACGCCTTAAAACTAAACGCACCGACTGGTAATTTTACAATTCAGAACCAAGTGCTCTAATAATAATTCTATTTAAGCTGTTTGTTAACAATACGAGAGATGTGCGATGTTGAAAAACACGTCGATATAGTCCATCACAGTATTTCTAACAGTAACGATCAAACTAGCGATGCATCAGCAATTGATAGATTAAACAAAATGATAAAATGTTAGAATTTAAAACATTTTCCTCGCATAGCGCCAATTCCCACAAAATCCCCAATCTAGTTGAAACTCCCTACAATTTGGGGAATTTTCCCACAAATTGGCAACGCTGGATACAATAGTCGTAATTCGCGCTCGGGCCGGTCATGGCCGGCATTTGTTTGTTGACAAATTAATAAACATTGTGAAGTAATTCCGTACTGTGAAATGATAAAAACAATTGAAATCAGCGCGTAAACTACTTTACTTCAATGTTGTGTATGTCTATTGTGCCGTCTAGAATACAGTGAAATCATTGTGTGAAATGTGGTTGACGTGTAGAAATAGCCTCAATTTTGTAATGAAAATTTTATTTCTTCCAACATAAGTTAGGTATGTCATATAAATATTCCTTATATTTATATGATAGGGAATTTATCCACCTTTCTAGTCATATATAACACATTCCATATAATTATACAGAATAACGTTTTTTTTGCGACAAATTGGATTTTTTCAATTGTTTTTTGACCTAGTGTTTTGAAAAGTTTTTTATTGCATAATACGCTGATTATTTCCTATAACCTTATAAAGGTTTTGTAATACTGTCAAAAGAAAAAATCTCTTAGAAACATCGCGTTTTGAAGACAATCATAAAAACTTCATAGAAGTGAATGTTCTTCTTCAATATCACCTACACTAAAGCAAGTAAAAATAATCGTTTCGAATTCTAAAGTTTTTCTATAGATAAAGCTATAGACAAAATGCTCCCAACTGTGTTTTGAAAAAAAGCTTTAAATTCTTATCACCATTTTTATTTTTAAAGAATGACTATGAAGTAGCCGAGAAAAATTTATTTTCTTTTTAAAAAGTAAATCTAAGTTGAAATCAGCTTGAAGAAGCCTAGAACTTCTTGGAAATGGTTTGTTTTGTGAGTTATTTAGTATATTTAAGCTTTCTACAGATATTTAAAACCGAAAATCGATAACTGTATTTTTATTAAGTTTATATTTTATACATAAATATTTAAAATTTAGCGAGCTCTTTACTTTTATGGCAGATTTTACATACTTTTCACAATGTATTTTAAGTCGCACGTTAATTTGCGCTTTCTAACCGATTAAACATTGCGCGAAAAAGTCAGAAATATTATATCTAATTTCGCCATGTTGCAATTTTGATAGTTTATATTTTGTAAGCCATTAAACTTGAAATCTATTAGTATTAAGAGAATTGCGTCTTATGTTTGTAACGCTTTAGTATTTTAGTTTTAAAATAGTATTACTAAGAATATCTATCTAACTATAAATTATCTAAAAACTGTCTACAAAACTAAATAAAAACTGTCTACATTCTACAAATGGTCTTGTAGCATACTAGAAGGGTTACTTAAGAAAAAAGATAAGAATCACTCTTAACACTACCTACAGATAGTTTCTCAAAGCACTCTTGTGATCTACTAATAAAGTTGTGCCCACTTTTACTTTAAATTATCTAGAAACCTTCTTCGCGATATCTTGAGGGAATTTGAACTCTTAAAATTCTATTAGATATCTTATAGTATGTATAGTATGTATTTAGATATGGTTGTGCTACTTGGGTAACGTAGTAATTCACACAAACACTCTCAATTCGGATTTAGAAAAGGTAGTTCTGCAACTCTTGCATGTTTTGAATTTCTGCGCATTGTAACGGAAAGTATAAACGTCTCTACTCCTGTAATGTCAGTCTTTCTAGATATGACTAAAGCCTTCGACTTTGTAAATCACTGAAAACTCCTTTACAAGCTTGAAGCATACGGTAATAGAGGAACAGCCCAAAATTGGATAGCGAGCTACTTAAAAAATCAGACACAGTATACGGAAATAAGTAGATTAACAAAAAACAAACACAATAATAGATCAGAAAAACTAATTGTTAGACCACATCTTAAAACGACTAATGCTGGAATACCGCAAGGTAGCGTCTTGGATCCGATACTGTTCCTACTCTACATTAACGATCTCCCACTAGTGATCATAATTGTATTCAATTTGCTGCCGATATAACTCTTATAATAAAATGCCAAAACAAAGCGACTTTTAACATTAACGTAAATAAAGCACTGACAGACGTTATAAGTTGGATGGACATCAATGACTTGTAAATTAATGTAAGTAAAACCAAACTTATGACATTTAGATCTTACAACTCAAATCCCATACCGGTGAAAATTAATTACAACTCTGATACTGTAGATGAAGTAGACACATTAACTTTCTTGGGTTAACAATCGCCAAGAACCTTAACTGGAAGGAACACATCGAACAGATGTGCATGAACCTAAACAGATTTGTTTACGCTTTACGAAGACGAAAACTGTCTCGCGAGAAGCTGCGTTGACGGCCTATCACGGCTACGTTTCGTCCGTGCTCAGCAACGGTCTTGTACTATGGGGTAACTCAGTAATCTTAGAAAGAGCGTTTAAAGTCCAGAAGAAGTGTATTCGGGCAATTTGCGGTGCGTGGTTCGATGACAGTTGCAAACCGCTGTTCAAAAGTCTGAACATATTACCTTTGCCATGCATGTACATTACGGATATCTGCGTATTTGTCAACTCTCATCCTCAATATTTTAAAACACGCGGTGAAGTCATTCAAAGGCTAACTAGAGCAAAAATTATGAATCTCTTATACCAACCTCGTTGTCATCAAGTAATTTATAAGAATAACTGCTTCAACATGTGTATAATTATTTACAATAAATTACCAAACGATATTAAATTATTACAAGGACATACTTTTAAATTAAAATTAACAAAATGGCTTTTGAGATATTGCTACTATAGTAATAAAGAATGCTTAGAATTTACAAATTAATTACATTAATTAGAAACTATAGAGACTAAACATTGAATCCCATTAATATCTGCACATCTGCTTGCAGGTTGAATACCTAATTTTACTTAAGACCTTTGTAATTACTGTGTTATGTCAAATAAACGTATTCTTTTCTATTCTATTATATTCTATCGAAATCTCAACCCTTCAAGCCTGAAGGTCTTCAATCCCGCATCAGTCAATGATTTACAAAATATCATATTTTTTGTTCTAATTAATTCTATTCCTGAATTTATGGATTATACATATTTGTCAGTGCAACGCTTGCCAATCTTTACTACTAGATAAGTAATATTTAATAATTGTTGTATATCGATAAGTAACAATTATTGTTAATAAATGATTACGTTATAGAGTAGAATAGAATCATTTATTTTATATTATCAATTTCATAATATCACAATTCGAAATATAATGTCAAAGCATAACATAATCGTCATTAAGGGAAATGATAATTTTTATATTAAAATGATAATTTTTATATTTTATAATTAAAAGAGTATAGAAAAATACGAACTACAAAAATACAAATAAAAATTTAAATATTTTCAAAATATAAACGTCATATAATAATGATGTCAAATAGTAACGAGTTTTAATTTTTGACAGCTCCTGCATATTTGCGTACGAAAGTGCAAATATACACGGGCGGCGGTATCACAACACACACACATAAACACACACACGCACACACACACGCACAACATCAAAGACGTTGCGCTACTGTAGAGAAGATATTACTATTTTTTTTATAATCGCGCGTCTAGTGTTTAGCGACACGCCTACGCCTGTCCATAGCAGTTGCAATGCAAAGAACTGAGGGACACTGCTACTACACCTGTCACCCTGAAACATTGATAAGTTGAATGTGCCCTTCAAACAGGAACGCAGTTAGTGCTTGGCGGCAGAAATAGGTAAGGTGCCAGTACTTCCCTGGAAGAACTCTTTCACAATGAACTCTACCGCTACTTTTAAATGCTTCGCAAGAATTATTTAAAAGCATATTACCTATCTAATTATATAAAACAAAATATTTACAAACGTACCATATCATTAGAATAAAATGTGTGAACGCCAAGCGAGCGTTCGAATGTGAGCATTACAAAGTTGTTATACTGTCTTCTAATATACTGTACCTAACTGTTATCAGTAGCCAAGGTGTTAATGAGGCATTAAAGAATATACCTGGGCTCATCCCGCACGACAATACATGTTATTTCATTTTTACATCTGTGTTTTGTTTTGATTTATTTCATATTCAGATTGCGTATTTTTATTCAAGTGCACTGCTTTTAGTTTTGATACTTTATCAACTGGGTGAGTAAATTAGATATTAAGGATTTTTTGTTGTTGTGTATTGCAGTCCACTGCTGGATATATGACATGGTCCTCGGCTTGTCGCATCCATTTTTAAATTTAACTGTATTAGCTTTTGTCGATTTTTATAACATATCGTGTTATTCGTTTTATTGCGCATCTTACCATCTTTCGTACACTGTGTAGATTGTTTTAATAAATCTCACCCTGGGTGTAATAATTAACGTGACCATACGTCACACTTTGAGCGGGACAGTCCCGTTTTTAAGCTTGGTGTCCCGATGTCCCCAAAATATTTAAAAACGTCCCGCTTGGACAAAACAGGACACACGTGATAATAAAGTAAAAAAATGGCGCGAAAGCGTAGTAGCAAGCAAACTTTGTCGCCCGCACCTTTTATTTAGTTGTAAGTGCGGCCGTACTCCATGTGCCCAGCTGCTATTTTTAATTTTTTGTTATTAAACATTAAGTAACTACATCGAGTATATAACCAGAAATAGACACGAAATGTCATTTAATTTGTTTGAAAAGTTTTCTGCCAAATCATTACGGTGACAACTGCGCTCCGATTGGCCAGCCCGAATTCGAATCAATAGAAGGGGGTCGTCAATTGTTTTACTTCAAATCGACCAGTTTAACTTGAGCTTTACCATAATGGACGAAAATTGAAAAATTATATATTGAATATTTATTTTAACGCCAAATAGCCGCGGTAGCCTAATGGTTTGACCTACTGCCTCTCAAGCAGAAGGTCGTAGGTTCGAATCCGGGCCCGCACCTCTGAGTTTCTCGGAATTTATGTGCGAAATTTAAATTGAAATTTATCATGAGCTTTTCGGTGAAGGAAAACATCGTGATAAAACCTGCACGTTAAAGAAGGTTCACAACCCTTGGAAAACGTGGGAAGTCCCCAACCCGCATTGGGCCAGCGTGGCGGACTATGGCCTAAACCCTCGCCTGAAAGGAGACCCGTGCCCAGCAGTGGGACATATAAATGGGTTGATGATGATTTAATTAATTTCGGGTTCTATCCATCCTATTTACACCTAATATGGCGTTCCATCGGCCTTTGGCAAACCTTGATCTTGGACTTTTGACTAACGGTCAGGGACCACGTCTGCGTCTGCGTCTCCGTAGGCAAGAATAGGCAGGATATACATGTCAACAAGTCTTCGCTTAAGTGTTATTGGAAGGTTTCTCTTCATAAGCTCTTTCATGGACCAGTAGCTCTTATAGGCGTTTTTGAGGCGTCATCGTCCTACCTCCCTATCTTGCCTATTACTCAAAGAGACTGCCTGTACCTGAGAAGATATTAGATTCTTTAAAATATTTGTCTCATTTGAACCACTTAATTCGTACTGAAATTCATAATTGAATACTTATTGTGGAATAAAATATTACAATACGTTACATTTGAACAGATGTTAACATCATTGATATGTTAATCTGTAAGAACACAAATACATACACACGAATAAATATTATGTTACATTCTTGTATAGCATCAGTCAACAACTGTACCGAGGGCAGTAAGTACCTATTATAATAATTTATTTTATTGAAATCGTGATAAATTTGGCAACTCTCTGTTTCTCTTATGTAAGTATTTTTCGAACCGCCAAAAATAGATAAATGGATTTTATTCAAATGTCATAATTTCACTACGTAACCAAAATTCTCACTTGTCTAATTTTTAGGTTTTCATGACTGTTACACATAGAAAGTGAAACAATTTTTTTCGAATCTAAATCTATATATTTGTTTTGTCAAGCAAACATTATGTAGCATAAACTGGAATGTTCTTTAAAAATAAAAATAAGGTATTTAATTAATAACTTTGGTAACTAAATATAGTTCTAAATAGGATAAACTTTGCCTTAATGTTAGACATACCTGGTTGATGACTTTACAATCTCAGTCAGCCGAGATCATAGGACCAGTAAAGGACACGTTGGTTTGTTTAGAAAACAAATATATGCGATTTATAAAAATATTGTTTCCTTCTTTACACTTCGCTAAATTACAACGATTCCATGACTCACGTTTAAAAAAGACTTAACCCGTCAAGAACTCTAGAAACTTATGGTGTCCTTAAATGTATTGATAAAAAAATTATACATTTTGAATTTTTTTTAAATGGAGCTGTGCGTTAAGAGATACCGCAGCTACGGCATCTCTAAAATGTATTATACCTATACACAGATCAAAAGTAGTATTAAATAAGTTCTAAAAATCAGGTTTTCTAACACCGATACATTTTTAGGTCAATTTTTGTAATTTCATTTTGAAAATGAAATTGATTGATGAGAATTGAGTGCTAAAAAATTTTTCATTAAACTACTTGATTCCTAAGCACTTTTCGCTCATTTGGTGCTATACTGACGTGATTGTATTCTTGGCACACAATGTGTTAATTAAAATGCTTAATTTAAATTATTAATACAAAGATCGAACACTCCGAAAAAATTCCTTCGATCCGGCCGGATTCGAACCGACGTCTTCTAGCATACCGTGGCAGACGCTACACCAAGTAAGCCACGGAACGAATCAGCGAACCTCACGAATTTTTCTATGTGCTTGTTGTCGTATCTTTGCTAATAATAGAATATAAATTCAATTTTTAGCCGTAGCGCAATTTATGAGAAATCTATGATATTTCGTCACCCATTTTGATAACAGCTACCAGCCCCAGCTAGAGTTGTCGCTATTCACTGTATTTAAATTTTTATTGAATTGAAATGAAATTATTTTTATATGAAATTTTACGTGAATATCACTCAATAAAAATTTAAATATTTAATTAAATTTTGCCAAAATTACAATTACGTCATTGTTGCACCAAATGAGCGTTTAGATGTGTTATAGCTGCCTACATTGCTGAACATTGTATCCTCTTCTGTCAGGAAGGCCATAGTCCACCATTATGGCTCAATGCGGGTTGGAGATTTCACACGGTAGTGAACCTTACCTGATACACCGGGTTTTATCACAATGTTGTCCATCACCATATATGAGACGTATTCCTACTAAACACTAGAAAATATACATAACTTAAACATCAAAATAAAAGCTATAAGTGCATGACGCCACAGGGATGCGATACGTGGACTTTTCAATTGAGAAGCAAAGGTTCTTCCACTAAGCTAACACCGCGGAGTAAACGCAATAATAATAATCAGATCTTTATTTCTTAAAAAAATGGTATCTTAAACAACAGGGGCTGGTGCCTCCTTTTAAGCGTACCCTGTTACAGGAGACATCGCTCTTCATTTGCTACACGTGTTTTTAAGAGTGGTTATCAAGCAGAGCCTCAACTTCTTCATGTTTTCCCCGCAATCCAGTTCGATATACTCTTTTTATACTCATAATACAATTTGCTGTAGATTTCTAATTCCTTATTCAAAGTGTTGTATATGTTGGCCGCACGTTTGTCGTATTTGCAAATACAGCGTTGGTGCTTGGAATTGGTATTACAAGATCTTGCGTTCTTTTCTGTCTGATACTATGAACATTATAAACACAAATACATTAACAAATTAATTTATTTCAGAAAATGTTAGATCTACGGGCAGCCATACTGGTCTTAGTTCTCGGCTATGCGTCCGCGCAGAGTCCTGGCTGTGACTATTACCAAGTTGTAAGTATCTAAAGAAACTAAACTAAACACAAGCAGTAGAGCTTCTTGAAAAAGAGTTCGTGTATGGAAATATTGTCACTTTACCGAATTCTGCAGTCAAGCAGAAATGTGAACATTACTGAGTTACACTTTTGAAGGGTGCTGGTGAAATTACAGGCACATGGGACTTGTCAACTTATGTCTCAAAGGCACACTGACAGGCGCAGTTGCGGTATCCCTGAGATCTTTGCGATTTAAAGCTTGCAACTGTTATGGATAGGCGTGTCGCATAGCTGTGAGGCCAGACGAGCGTAATTTTGTGAGTTGTGAGTCGCGTAGTTTGAGTTGCATAGTTTGTGCTGCAGTCGGTTTCATATAAAAGTACGGTTTTTTTTTCACACGACGACGCAAAATGAGTTATCTGCCGACTCACGGGTGTAATGACGACTGACTTTCGGTCGCATCGTGCGATGGGCTGGCGCGGCTAGATGTAGGGATCAGGGAAGGGGTCACTTTGGTATAAACGCTTAAAAAGCAACTGAATACGTTCGTCTGGCGCTCCAATCGAATTTCGGTCGAGCGCAAACTGCGCAACTCAAAAAAACGCAACTCACAGTTTGTAATGTGAGCTCACAACTCACAAAATTACGCTCGTCTGTCCTCACCCTTACACGAGGCGCACGATTTCTTAGCCCAGTCATTTAGTATCATAAAAAAAAAGGAAAAATTAACTACACAGTAATACAATATCTTCTCTACACGCGCAACGCTTTTGATGTTGTTTTTTGTGTTATGTGTGTGTTGCGATTCCGCCGCCCGAGTTGTCAAAAAATGAAAAAACTATCATTATTATTTAGTAATCAATAACAATAATTATTAAAGGATTCTTTTTAATAGTTTTTATGGCTCTGGGTCCTTTGCATTTTGAGCCATCTAGTAGTACCTACGGATTTGCAAGTGCTGCACTGCCAAATATTTATGTGACACTATGTTTAGACGTTTTCAGTTCATATAGAGTACCTTATTCACATTCGAATGAACAATTTAATCGTAAGAATAAAAGTAAATTCTACTGTACTTGCGTGGTTGCGCTTATGGGCAGGTATGACTGTTCACGAGTCGCTCGCTTGCGCCGGCCGCTAGCTTTACGTTGGATTCGTTGGAGTCTTAGCGTTGCGTGAGTTTGATATCTAGCAAGCTTGATATTTCCACGCAAGCAACAAGGAACGTTTGGGGAGGACAGCACCACTGGCCAATCACAGAGCAGCAGCCGGTTCAAGAGTGTCGGCAACCCAAGTCTCTCCGCAGCGCAAAGCGGAAGACTCGTGAACGCCTTTGCGCGGAAGGCAGATTTCTACGCCGTGTACCCAACGCATACAAGCGAAAAACGTGTACTCGGCCTAAATCAAATTATGTATCTAAAATATTGTTTCCAATATTGCATCGGTACTAGGGAATCCAATCTCGCAGAATCGGAAATGCATGATTCACACTTACGGGATCCGCGAAATTTGCGGGATTGAAAAAGAAACGTTTTAGTATAATTAAAATGTCTTGTAAAGTTGTAAGTCACTTTTCATTGAACAATATTTTAAATCTATAGAAATGAAATCCGGTTAAAAACAATACGTAGGTACTTCAAAATGTCAATAACCACCTGTAAGTCAATTAATATGAAATAATCTAAGTTTGCAATAAAACTTTTATCTATGTATATAGTTGATATATATCTCACTCATACAAGTACTTATTAAATAAAATTTAATTCCATGTACCAGACATCAAAGACAACCGCTATCGGTTAATTTTTATCGATAATGGAACGTGTAATGATAAAAAAATTATTCTTTGTGAAGTTTTTGCCTAAAATAAGATCATTTCTAAAAATATATGTTTTTCGTGCTATGATAATTTTTAAACAACTTCAAAAAAAAGCAGGTTTCTAATTCGACTGTATTTTTTTTACATTTGTGAACATAATCGTGTTCTTAGGTTTTCCCGATTGTTACACATAGGAAATGAAACTATTTTTCCGTATTTAAATCGCGTGTATTTGTTTTTTCAAACAAACCAACGTTTCGGGCCCTTTACAGGTCACATGGACATGGTGACAAATATACGCGATTTAAATCCGGAAAATCAGTTTCATTTATTATGTGTAACCGCGAAAACCTAAGAACTCGATATGTAATTACATAACTTATCAGGTCGGTTTTTTTTATAAAAAGTTATTTGCGGCAATAATTGTTTCAGGATCTTTTGTAATATTTTTTTTTAATTTTACTGTGGATTCTATTATGTTAGTAAATCGTTTTCCTATTTCCATTTAAATAATATAACACAAAGTTTGTAGTTGTTAAAGTTTTTGTTTATTGTTAAATTCTGCAATTTTTGGTTTAGATTTTCTTGTTTTCAATAAAATTAGCAGAATAGGGACCCTGATCGGTCGCTCGTTACATTTCCCGATTTGGGGATTAGTTGACCACGCAGTTCCGGTGATAAATTCCATAAACTCAGAGACGCATGCCCTGATTCAAACCTTCGACCCTCTGCTCGAGAGACGGTAGATCAAAGCATTAAGCTACCACGGCTAATTGAAGAAATGTGATTTAAATAATCAAGATGTTGTTTAAGGTGATTATGTTACTTGTTTCTATCTGAGCCTATCAATCAAAATGATTACAAAATTAATTTTAATTAATTAGTAATGATTCGACTGATAAATAATAATAATAAATTTATTCATAGAACTTAAACGTTACACAGTATAAAAAGTGCATAATGCAAGGTACAGCCATTATCAGAACATATGACAGCTGGTACTTAACTTGTGCTATAGGTACCAGCAACCTTCCAGTGTCAAAGAGACATAATCCACATTATTTTATATGAACAAGTTATTACAGGTAAAATAAAGTTCATGAAAAACAATATTAATTTGTAACAAGAGAGTAGAGTGAAAAGGGCACGCATGTGTCGATATCCATAGGATAGGGATTTTAATGTGCAAGTGTGTGTGTGTGTGTGAGTGTGTTCGCGCGTGCGTACGTGCGTGCGTGTGTGTGTTTACAAAGACATTACTTTATTCGACTGTACATACAAGATTTTCTGTTTCTTCATATGAGCGTTTCATGAGCCACTTAAAACCCGTCTTTTTACACTCGTATTTGTTTTTTTTTAATCAATGGTTAATAAATTATTAGTGTTGTTATATAAGAAACGTCCTAAAAAGTAAAAGAATTTTTGACTGAAAGATAACTGTTTGATGATTCTATCTTGATAGGTTAATTGACTGATTAAAATCAATTTTCGTGATAGGTTTTAGGTATTAATTCTCATTTTTTATTTTTGGTAATTTAAAAATGAGATATTTAAATGAAAAACTTTTGTAACGAATTAGTGTTAGGGCTCTGAGGGTCGTATTCTAAAACTCTACTCAATGCTCAAGTCAGGACTTGAGTATGATTCAAAGCACTAGAAATCATACTCAAGCCCTTGCCATTAGGGTCGTATTTCCAGTGCTTGAAATCATACTCAAGTCTGCTCAAATCCTGACTTGAGCATTTAGTAGAGTTCTGGAATACGACCCTAAGTCTATATCTAGTTGTGTGTGGATACAGTGTCAACAGCAGGGTTTTGTATTCTGCCAAAAGTCTAGACTATTCAACTGCCAATGCAATGTTTTGATATTCTGCCCTTCAATGGCACGTCGAGGGCGTAGTCTATTAATTTTTTAAAATAAAAAAAAATACATTTAATTATACATCATTTTGTTAAGAAAGAAGATATCCATAATATTAACCTTAGAACTAAGTCCAAACCTATGGTACCACGATTTCGTTTAACTAAGGTAAACGATTCTGTTATAGGGAACTGTATACGTTTTTACTATAAGATTCCGGAGCATATATTACGATTACCATTTCCTAAGTTTAAAACTTACATTAAAGGTATTTTAACTGAAAAATCATATTACAAAATGGATGACTACGTGTTAGATGAAGATGTATGTAAAGACAACATGAGTCTAAATTCCACACTAATATGATTCAAAATGTGTTAAACAGCATTTAAGTTTATTTGAAAAGACAGTTTCTTGCTCGTTCTTCTCAGGGAAGTCGGCACAGTGAACGAGCAGTAGCTTCAAAAAAATGACGTTTTTAAGTGTAAAAATTATACCTATGGACTTTTTTTTACCATTGACTAGTTTGAAAACAGGACAATAGGAAGATATTGTTATTACCATTTTATTTTCAGATACACAATGAGCAATATATGGCTAATGATTTAGTGTTACATTTAAGTATAAAAATAATTATCCTACGAATAAATATTTTCGTTTTTATAATACCAAGTAACGGGTCGAACCTGTCGTGCGCCTGATGGTAAGCGACAGGTCCATAACAGTTGCAGTGCCACTCAGAGCTTTAAATTGCAAAGATTTTAGGGGAACTACCACTGCGCCCATCAACCTCTGTTAACAAGTCCCATGTGCCTATAATTTCACCAGCACCCTTACCCTTCCAAACCGGAACACAGTAACGCTCATATTACTGCTTGGCAGCAGAAATTGGTAAGGTGGCGGTACTTCACTGAAAAAACTCTTTCACAAAGAGCTCTACTGCTTTTAAAATATTAGACAACATCACAAATGTTGCTCTGATCCAAAAGTAAGTAACTAAAGTTCATCACGTATATCAAACAGATGGAATCTTGTCGACCACATTAAAAAAAAAATACAAATATTAAGTCTACCTTCTATATTTGAAATGGCTAAATTTATTAGAAAAAAAAGTTATTTTTTTTTTTTATTTATTAAGGCTTTGGCAAAGCCATCAGCCTAAACATGAAGTTTGAATATGTTTCCGTAAATATGGCCGCCACAAAAAGGATAGGCAATTTGAGGCAGCGTGCTTGGATTGACTCGGGATTTCTTAAAACGGGCCGATACGGGTATTTTAGTTCGAGGTTCGTATAATTTCGCGTTTTAATCTATGATTAAGGCACAATAGCACTATCCTATTCCACTTTAAACTAGATTTCACAAAATAATTGAAAGTCAAAATAAAAACGACACTTTTCCCTCCAAAAGGTCCAGAGCGAATTCCAAAAAAATTGTGAACTATTCATTAGTGCTGTACCCACTTCTATAAGAACGTCTAAATATAAGAAAATATTAAGCCTTCCGCAAAGTACATTAGGCATGTATCAGAATAGTCCGCATTATAATGCGATAAAGATTCACAATAAACTACCCGAATACCTGTATACCGATGTGAGACAAATTACAAAAATTTCACTAAAAAAATTAGAAGTATTATCAATTGACAAGTGCTATTATAACTTAAATAAATTTTATATTGACAAACTTGCGTAGTTTTTGGTTAAATTATGTTGTTTTATGTATTTGACGAAGGCTGATGATGGATAATTGACATGTTATTTTAATCTAAATTGTATTTTTATAATTATATTTGGTAATGTGTGAACAATAATGTAAGCCAAAATGCGGTGACTAAGTGCCATACCCCCGGGACCTCGGAGATGGCCACACCATGAAAACCGGTGTGCAAGCCACTCGGCCACGGAGGTCGTCCAACATTGTCTCCCACTAGATTTATCCTTGTCTGCTGGCTAGCAAAAAGCAATTTTTACTAACAGATCATTTTGATATTACTAAAGAAAAGTACAGTTACGAGATCTTGGTTTTACACGTTCCGATAACCACTTAGTCATATTTTTTCAGGTGCAACCCGGACAGACATACTACGCATACAGCCCCAACTACCCTAACAACTATACCGGAACGATAAGTTGTCGCTGGATAGGATCATGCCCGCCTGGATATAACTGCAAACTTGAATGTACCGAAGTCTACATACCTTATGTAGGTTAAAGTTGTATTTATTCTATCATATTAATTTATGTGAATCCCGTTCGTGAACTGCACTACACATGATCTGCTTCTGTATGCCTGGTAGCCGTAAAAACCTTTATAACTTTTGTGTTGCTGCATGATGCTGCTAGAGCCAGTGTAGCCAGGGCCCTGAGTCAAAAATTACGTTTTATTACCTAAAAAAATACATTATTGCGGTAAAAGTTACATTTTCCAATTTTTTAATCAAACATTCTAACTGTAAAATACATACATATGTTTATATACTTACATCTGAATCCTAAGCAATAACAAAAAAGTGTGTATATATACGCTGTGGAAAAAGCATGCGAGCATGGCATCGCATTGGAGCATGTGACAGATATGCTGTCGCACATGAGCTGATATTTTATGTACTGATTAAATGTGTTTTCTTCCAGACCCAAGGGTGCACTACTGACCGTCTGTTGATCTCAAAGACCGGCGATCCATTGCTAGCAGCCGCGCAGACGTACTGCGGAAATGGTCAGATCACCGTCGTTTCCGACCTGCAACAGATAAGTCTCGGTATGTCCACTGTATTCAGTGTTGCCAGGTGAAATCTGAAAAAGTCGGAAGATATTGCACAGAATAGATTGAGGGAAACAACAGTAGATGCTGAACTTACCTTCAAATACTTTTAATTCATAGTTTATTTTCGTTTCTACTGCCCAAAGAAAAAAAGCGTGTAATGTTTTCGACTTTAATAAAACATTGATAGTATGGCAGCTTTCGTTCGAATACAATTGCAAATCATATATCACTGTTTTGGGTTATAGATTGTATGGCGGATGTAATAATAGTGAACGTTTAGTTACTGACATCAGTCAAAACATACCGTCAAACAATCATAATCCTTTTTTAAAATTGTAGATTATTCATTTTTGATCCCATTTCTGTCTCTATCTACCGACTCGAGAGTTAGAGAGTTCTGGGAAGACTACAAGCTCCCAAAAATACCTCATCCACATACAATATTGGTTATAATAACTCTCTGAATCGTGATGGTACGGACAACGGACAACATCAGACTACACATTTTTGTTCGAAAATCGCCTACTTTGCAACGGAACAAGATACGTCAATGTGTAGCTTGATGTGCTGGTGTGTGACATTGAATTATTAACTTTGGACAGAAATCTGTTTAAAGCATGATTATAAAACAACAAATTTCTATAAACAGTACATTTTCGTTAATTATCAGTAGATCAGTAAGACGTCGACCAAAACCAGTAGATCTACTGTTAAAGCAGTAGACCACAGGGAACACTGACCGTGTTAACCCAATACTGTTGTTGGAGTATACATCGCACCCCTCAAGGAAGAATGGCATAAGAGGAGTAACGTCTAACATGCTTATTGCTCCATTATATACAGAAAAATATAACTCACATCCTCCCCAATTCTTGTAACTCTACCTACAATATTAGTCGTTAGTTACAAGAATTGGAGAGGATGTAGGTTATATTTTTTCTGTATCTAATGGAGCAATAAACGTTTTTGACGTAACTCCACTCATGCCATTCTTCCATGAGGGGTGCGACATATGGAAGTCAACAATCACACGACGCGCTATACACTGTAAAACCTAGTTTTGCTTTGTCGCTCTTAGATTAGAAATGTACATACTACTCTGTGGCCGGTACCTACTAACAAAATGCCGCTGACCTAATACACAATTTATTAATATTTAGTATAATAAGACATATCGTGCAACTCAACACATTATCATTAAAAAAAAATCACAATATTCCCCTGCAATATTGAAAGAAAGAAAGAAGCGTTTATTCAGCAATATTAACGTTTACATAGAAGAAATTAAAGACTACAAATCTAACTCAGAACATATATACTGCTTTTCAATTAGAGCCACTTTAATAGAATGATATGTCACAAAAGTACCCACTAACGCTGATTTAGTAGTTGGAGCCATTTTAATAGGGTGATACGACACGAAAATACGTAAACGTATTAATGTTAGTTAACACTAAAAAATTTTACATATATCATTAAAATTGAACTAAAAATAAATAGGAAAATTATGAGATTATTATAAATAATTATTGTATTGTTTTTATGAAATGAAATACTGGACTTGTTAGACCTTTTTCAGTTAGTTACCTAGAGGGGTTATTATTCTATATTTTATTGAAATAACCATTACTTAATGCAGTACTATGTACAGTACAGTATTGATATTTTTATACCAGAATCGCGGATTGGTATCTCGATTATGGAATAAGCTCATGAAATAGAAATATGTTGCTGAATAATTTTGAATTTGAATCACTCTGGTTCAAACCACCATAAACACAGCAATAAACACGTCTACTATTTGACGGAACCATAGATATAACATCTATGGAGCGAACGCTTAAATTCTATTAAGAATGACGTGTGGAACAACCCGCGCTGTGCAACTTAAGTGTCCGTCCGTAAAAAGCACGCAGCGGGCGCGCACTGTTAAACAATACTGTATTAACATTGACTTACAATTATATGGACGTCGGGTCCGCGCTAAAAAGTGTCCGAACTTATAGGGTGTTAAAATCGTATACAGAGCGTCATTCACGCTCTAGTCTTCGTTTGTTCGACTGACAGCGAAGCAAGCAAAATTAGACAGTACTGCGATGACATTACAATTTAAATTCAACGTTTTAGCTTTTTCATATTCCTTGACATGTCACTACGTTTAAATAGGTTGACTTGGGACATTTTTTTCGTGGTTTTTGTATTAGACCGGCCGTCCATTTATTTGTAAGTCAATGTGTATTAACTAAAAAGTGTATTTTCTCAGAATCGATCAGAAACAAATTACTTTATATTAAAATTTTTGTTAAACTTTAAAAATATAGGTTAAACTTTATAACAGACATTTAAACAATGTCCTACTTACCAAATGTATTTAAAAATAAAAGGGAAAAGATTCAGCTTTTTGAGTAAGAACTGTTTTGTACAGAACTAGCTCAGAAAAAGTTTCTCTCGTTTTGAGTTCCGTAAATATTTTTGAATTGTTTCTCACAGTATTCTAATGAAGGTTATATTGATGTGTAGAGAATCAAATTTTACGTTCAACAATAGTATAATCCCGAATTTCACATATTTTGAGTTACAACACTATTGTAACAGCAGTGCGATATACAACGTCGCCTTACTTTCTCAAACGCGTATCTAAAAAGTCACTGAAATGCAATAAATGGATTGTACATACAAACTTTTCAGCCTGATTTCACATCAAATTTCCTTCATATTCATACACTAGCTTTCGCCTATTCTTAAAGTAATGCATCCAAATTAATATCCTTGATAAGAAATTTCAAATAAATAGAATGTTTTGCCATCCCCTGAATCCCGAGTTTGAGAAAGTAAGGCATCGAAGCTGCGCTGCTACGTTTGTAAGGAGTTACCTGCCTGTTCTATTATTCTACTATAATAATAACGCACATACTCATAGCTCCGCACTAGGAAAACCTACAGGGTTTTCCTAGTGCGTCAGATGCCATGAACATACACATAGACAACCACAAATTGCACCCAAATTCACGAGAGAACTAAATGAAGGCCATAGAAATATTTCTCCCGGTCCGGGAATCGAACCTGAGACCTCTGCGAAGCAGACCAGCATGGTAATCGTTCGGCCACAGAGGCAGTTATAAATAGGCAGTGTAATCCCGTAAATCACCTATTACAAATTAAAAAGCGACCTTATACATTTCATAAACTTTGGTCCTTGTGAAATTATTTCATTATACAACAAAGCACAACATCGGTAAGTTAGAAGGGATTTTCTGGGGAAGGGGAAGTACTGTTTCTTTTCGCAGAATTGTGATTTCAAGTTCTTTATTCTTTACTAAATATAAATCATAAAATCAAAATATAATAGTTATTTCACAGTAAATCATTTTAACGCAGCTTAGTTTGCATTAAGTTAGCCCAAGTTTCTTGCAATTTCATTTGTTGAACCGTCATTATTTCCCATTATTTACGCCTATAGGCTTGATGGCGACCAACAGCAGAGGGGGCAGGTTCTTTTGCCGACTAACAGCTGTGCCTGCTTCTGTTGTTGACAACTGCAGATGTGGATATAAAAAAACGGTAAGAACTACTGTTTTACAAACCGCTATACATAATTTATGGAGCCTCATTCATCCTTTCTAGAGATGTCAAAATAGTTTTGAGCAGCCACAGATCTTCGGATTTATTGCCTTTATGGACCCATCAACTTGTCATGATTCTATCACAAACCATCTTTATTATACAAACTAAATCTTGGGAGAAGTATGCGCTTCTTGACTCTCTACTCTTTTTATGTAGGTGCGTCCTCTGGTTCCGTCCATCGACCATCGACTTCTATAGTTTACAATTGGTTGAATTCTTTTGTAATTATAATAAATTTCAGAATCGTATAGTTGGCGGCCAAGAGACAGGGGTCAACGAGTTTCCGATGATGGTAGCTCTGGCAGACAGAAGCATCAGTGAGGTCAAATGCGGCGGAGTGATCATCGACAAACGATGGGTGATGACGGCAGCCCATTGCCTCGTTACACAGACTATAAATAATATAGCTGTTATTGTAGGCGAGCATGATACTTCTACAGGTGGGTAAACTGTAAATACTAATTTTTGTTCGGCCATCTAAGTTCGGCATTTTGAAAATAATTTTGTCCCAGTGGAATCTAATCAAGGTCGTTAACAAGAAATTTCAATGGTTTATAAGCATTTCCATTTATATCGCTACAATCCATGGCGATTCCTTAATAGAATGAAATATTTGAATGTCTGTTTCTAAAATTATTACTATTTTCGCTAGAGAAAATTAAAGATATATTTGACAACAATCTATAATCTTTCAGAATGATACTATTTTTTCGGATCTGAACCGCGTATATTTGTTTTCTCAGTTGAACCTACTTTTCAGGCCTTTTACAGGTTCTGCAACTGATTGCAGTCAGCAATGACCTACATCCGAAAAAGTTTCATTTCGAAGACTCGACATTGCCGTATACTTACTTTATTATCCCGGCATATAAATCGAATTATATTGGCCTCCGCAACTAGAAGTTGTCGACGTCACGTGTGGTGTCACCATACTTTAATGATATAAGATTGATTGTAGACGAATATGATTATATTTTCCGGACGTATACATACAATAGACCACTTTGGATGTAAACGTCACTTAGTTTGGATGCTGACTAGTCATTAAGAATAATTAAATCTTACTTTGATATGAGAAAAAGACTCTGGCAGATCCGATATGGCCACTAACAACGCGGGAGTAGTTTCTATTGTGGTATTAGAATCTTGACGTAATATGCCACTTTGAACATACTTCCTTTAATATCTGGAGGGGCCGAAATCCTTGGCTTATGGAATATTAAATCTGTCACTTTGAACACATTTCCTTGAAGAACTAACGATGCAAATTTGTTTGATGTTCTTAAATCGCTTTGCAGGATCCGATACCAATGCAGTGCAAGGCTTTGCTCCCAAGAGGTTTATCATTCATCCAAACTTCAATCAGTAAGGGAAATTTATGTACAAGATTTTAAAGTTTCAGGTATCTACTAACAGTGCCTACGATATAGACACCAAAACTTTGATGCAAAGCTGAGGTTACTGTGTAGCGTAGCTACGCATAGCTATGCATGGCAGTGATTTAGCTGTGTGTATTGTTGTGTGTCATATGCATTGACTAATTTCGATGTTGGTCATTAAACTTTCTATTGCAAGCTTCAAGCCGATCAATTCTTTTACTTATCCTAAACAATTAAGAGTGTTAAAGAAAATACACATGTTGTGAAAGTCTTAGAGATAGAATAAGGAACAATGTAATGAGAGAGCATTGCGGTGTGAACAAGATACACTGACTAGGACAGAAAAAGAATGCATCGATGGCTTAGGCAGATGGAAAGAATACATGATAGTGGAGCAATGACACAATAGATCAAATATTAAGAATAATTGAGGAAAAATCGATCTTCGAAATCGAAGGGGCAATGTATAAGCTTCTATACGTGGGGCGCACTGTAAGTTTCCGGAATGAATAAGCTGTAATGAAATAATAACCTGCCTTGCGAATGAGTCACACATGACCATTCAAATTTAATTTGCTTACCTATGAAATAAAGATTATTATTATCAAGCCGAAAATTCAGTGTTCGGCCAAATCACTTTTTGCGGCATCTCTAGAATATATTACTAAAATCATAAACAATCACTTTTGTTCCATGACTTTTGACGAAACATAATAAATTTACTAAAAATAAACATAAGTTTTTGTTGTACTATCTGAAACGTTTTAGATCTGTGATTGGTAGAATAAGTTCAAACATGCAATCATCCTCCGCGACGACTACACCCCCGGTCCTGCACAGAGTTATTACCGTTTAGAGCAATCTATATTTTTTTTAATCTATTTTTATGAAAGTGAAATCTGTTAATTATTAAAAGTCTTGGAACAAAATTTATTTATGGTGTTGGTAACATACTCTTACGAGGTTTTAAAAATAATCTTGCTCACTGCAGGAGATAACTTTTCTTGATATCATGTATTTCAAGCCAGAATTTAATTTCAGAAACAACTATGACAACGACATCGCTTTGATTGAGCTGAACAGCGACATAATGTTCAACGACAGAGTAGGGCCGGTTTGCTTGCCATTTAAATTCGCCACTGCGGACTTCTCCAACACGAAATTTACTGCTTTAGGTATGGAAGGATTGTACACATGTTTATTTATATTAATGAACAGGGTAATTCGAATGATTGAAACTAATTTTTTTATATTTTTAAAAATTGGAACAAACAATTAACTGGCTCATAATTATAGTATTTATCAAAGGTGCAGGGTTCATTGTAATCGAGGTTGGAAATATTGAAGTGAGCTTTTGAAGGTTGCGGGTCTATTGTATTACATATCATTTATTTCTCATATTATAATATTACGGTATATATTGCACTACATGTCTACTATCCACTACTATAAGAAATTATATTGAGATCGTCAACTAAAAATGAAAATTATGAAATTATTCAATAAAAAAATTAAAAATAATTACACAATAATTATAAAATTAACAATTCATAATAATAATAATATTTTTGTCATTAAATTACATACCAAATATCATTATTCATGAAGGATCGTTATAAGTTGATAACAAATATATGAAATAGAAGGAAATAGTACAAAAGTATGTCAAAAATAGAAAATAGGTACTCGATAGCGTTACATTTTTAGGTCCATAAATTCATTTTTTAAGTTTTCCAAGAAAAGGTCTTTTAGCCTAAATATTTCATCAGATGGTTCAAGTCTGAAAGTAGTGGGCAGACGCGCATAGTAAGTAGGTCCGACAACAAGCAGGTTTTTCTCTGCAAGTGCCATACATACTCCGGGCGACTGTTCTCAAACGACCGGCACAGTGGAGTTCGATGCCAGAAACATTTACGTTAGTAAATGAAGAAAGACTATTTCTAATGGACATTATAATTTCATACATGTGGAGTGAGTAGTGCGTCATTTTTTACGATTCTAGGGCGTTTGGTTCCTTTTTGTATTCTCCTAACAACGAGATTTGGTAATAATAGGGGTTAAAGTATGAAATTGCCGATTTGTACTGAAA